GTAGCAGAAAAAAAAGAGATGCAGAGAGATTATCTCTTTTCTTCACGCTTTACCCAAAAGAATCCAGCTGGAAAATGTTGTCACGGGGGTCCCACTTTTAAAAAATTTGTGGATAAAAAATTATGGCTCCACGGGCCGAACCGGCCTTTTCTAAAGAAAAAAACTGGCCTCCCGCAAAAAAACTTTTTAAAATTAAGCCAGAAGAAAAGTCTGCTTTGAACACAACAGAAATTTAAAATTTTTTAAATCTGCAGACCAAAAAACAGAAAAGTCCCTTTTAAAGAATCTAAAAAAACGCATCTTTGGGTAAACTCTTAAAAAGTTTTTCAGCTCTTGTCTTTAAATTCATTAAGGAAAAAACCGATTATTAATGTCTTGAACCCATTAAATACTGGGGTTAAACCCAATACAGAAAGAAAGGTTTTTTCTACAGAATACCAAAATTCCCAGAAAAACAAGGGTAAAACCCCAAAGAAAACCTGATAAATTAATTCTTTAGGGGCTTTTTCTCGACTTTAGAAAAAATTATAAGAAAATCGAGGAAAAAAATTATAATTCTTTACTATCTAAAAAAAGCCATACATCCAATATTGATCCCCAAAAAACAAATTTTGGGTAACAAAACTGGGTTGTGCAAAACCCCACATTTTCGTGTTACATGGTGGGGGGGGAAACTGAAAAAACTTTTTTCATATACACAATCCTACTGGAATTTCCCCAAGGGCGACCCAAAAAGGGGAAAAAAAAAAAAAGGACTTTTTTTCTTTTTCCACACAAAGACCCGCATTTGTCAGTATCCAGGGCCACCTCCATATCCCTCTGAAAGATTTTTTTCATATCACTTTTCCCTTTGGGGGTACAGGTGTAGATTACAAATTGGGCCAAAAATTTTTTAAAAACCCAAAAAAAATTGACAAAGTTTCCCCTCAAGGTGTACACTGTTTGTTTTACTTGTGCTACAACTAAGCCTACATTAAAGTACCACGACATGTCTGGCCCAAACCTTTATCAAATTATTCCCGAAGGTTTGCAGCCAGAAAGGATGCCCAAACTGATTTAATTTTAATAATTCAACGAACTTTGTAGCTGGGGCTTTCTTAAATAACAAGAAACTCTGTCAACCAGAATAAAAAACAGATGCTGAATCAACGCATTTTCGTTGGGGGAAACATTCCCCTAAATCTCCATGGGACGGGAAAATTTTATGAAAGAATGATCCCGGGATTGTAAAACGTTGTTTTTAAGGGAAAAACTCTTTATCGTCAGAGGAAAAAGACTTTTGGGAAAAATTCCCTACAGTTGTGACTAAATAGAAAAAAAGAGTCAACAACAACCTCTAACTTATGTTACCGATGATCTGGGCAATTTAGAAGTGTTAAATCCATCTCATTTACTCCATGGCAGAAGGCTCGAACCCCGTTCCTCCCATGAATGATTTAAAGGGAAAACAAGAGGATCCTTCTTATTTTCCCAACCTGACAACTCAACGTAAATTCAAACACCTTAATAAAGTTTATTGAACGTTTTGGGGGAAAAAATTTTGGGGAGAAACTATCTCCCCCTCATTTTAGAGGGAAAACTTCTATGGAGCTGGGGGTTCCTGAAAAACAAAAGTCCTTTAAAACCTGGTGGGCTTTGTATTTTTGACAATGATTTGGGCCGAGGGGGCCCAGTGGCCACTTGGGAAAAATTGTGACCAATAACCTGATGCAAAGGGAAACATCAGGGCAGTTGAAGTTTAAAAACAAAGTGAGGAATAACGGACAATAAAAAAAACTAGTTACCGTTAAAAAATTAAAACCCGGGGTTGAAAAAAAAAATTAGTGATTTTTCCAGAAACCACACAGACTAAAGCTGTTTTAGAAAAGACAAGCACAGATGTTTGGGGAGTTAGAAAATCAATTAAAAGTTAAGGATGAATAGTTTAACCTGCAAACGAACCCCCCCCCCCCCCCCAGTTTTTTTTTGGAAAAAATTTTTTTCTAGGAGGGGAAATCAGCCCCCTTCAGCCCCCTTATTTAAAACCCTTTTAGGCCCCCCTGGGGGGGCCCCGCCCCTCGAATGACAAGCGTCTTGTTTACTGCTACAGTAATTGATCACAGATGCCGTACGATTTTCGACGTGGTCAAGTGACCGTTTCCGCCTTGCAGCCATGTTGCAAAAGTGTATTTTTTAAAAGAGAACAGAAAATACTTACTTTAAACAGGACAATTAAGGAAAATTTCCCCTCCCAATTTTTTACCATGGTAAGAAAGTGTATATTGTTGTCTATGCTTAAGAAAAGCAAAATCAAACATTCTGCTTTGGGTTCATCGAGGGAAATGGCAAGGAAGCAAAATTTCTTTGGTCAGCTTTTTTTTTTTTGCAGGGGGAATTTACGGCATGGGGGCTGTGGCATCTTCAGATTATTTTTGACTCTACTGAGAGTGACCCCTGGGCGCCAGGATAACCAAAAAAAGAACGATCTGTGCGTTTGTGTGAACAAATTTTCCATAAAAAACCCCCCAAAAACTTAAAAAGAAGTGTGACACTTCTTTTAGTGATAAGAATTTTTTTAAAAAATAAAGAAAAAATCTTTGTGGAAAAATAGTGAAACCCTTTGCGTTTTCCTAGAATATGGAAGACGTGGACCTCCAAGGACACTTCAGCTTCAATCAAAATCACCAATATCTGTCGAAGGTGTGAAAAACACCATAGCCACCTACAAGAGCCCAAAGGGAGGGTTTCAATTTCTTGGGAGACGGGGGGCTGCGGGGAGTTTTTGATCACAAGGGGTTTTTTTAATCAAACCCACAAATCGGGAGGGAAGGGCGGACTTTTGAGTCCAAACAAGTTGTAAAAATGTCAAACAATCAGTGAAAGAAATATGCGACATAACACCCCCCAGGGGTAATTTTTAATCTTACAAATTATAAATCTTTTACAGCCCGTTTGGGAGATGACCCTTTGACACCCTTTTCAAACCCTCCTGCAAGGGGGGGCTTTAGCGGTTTTAGTTTTTTCTTTTTTAAAATTAAGGGAAAAAACTCTTTAAACTTAACTTTTAAGGGCCCTTTCTCAACAAAAATTTAACCTACAAACTTTTCGTCTTACAAGGGGCTCTCAGAAACGGATTAATAACGAAGGTCGGGGCTCCACTGTATAAATACCTCCCCAAAACAATTGAAACATTTTTCAAACTTTTTAACTACGTAACCGTTATTTAAACACAAAGTTAAGTTCCTGAAAAAAACCGCTTTTGGTAAAACATGTTAGATGAAAAGAAGAACCTAGGGGGAAAAAAAGGGGTTTTCGTTCCTGGGGGGCCCCCAAAAAGCCAAGCAACTTTTTTTTTGGGGCCCCACATCTTACAAAAATAAAAGTGAAAATTTTTTATTGAAATTTTATTGGTTTTTGTTGTAGTAAAATTTTTTTTTTTACTGCTTAAGACTACAAATTTAAAAAAGAAAAGTATTTTTTAAACCTTTAAAATTTGGGTTTGGGGGTGTTTTTTGGATAATTGTGAAAAAAAGTGGGGGGGGTTTTTGCTTTTGGGCCCCACTTTGCAGGGGGTGGTGGAAAAGGTTTTGGGAAAGAAGGGTTTATGGGGTTTTACTGGAAAAGTCTAACTTAAAATCCCTTCAGTCAGTCCCGTCCCAAGGGCTTTCGCTTTGATCAACCAAAAAATGTTTGTGGTTTTGGTTTTATGTAGAAAAGTTTTTACACCTTTTGCCCAAATTTTTAAAAGGCTGTCTGCTACTTTCCCCCGCCCGTCAATGTCACCAAATGCAATATTAAAATTTTTCCGTGACCTCATCATGTAGGGGGAAAAGGAAAAGAATCTTACTCGAGTCTTTAGGCAATTTTTCAAAAAGTTTGGTTTTGAAAAGGTGGGGATGTTTTGTAGGGGTTTTTCTATTAAATTTTACCTTCTTGTGTAGAGATAAACGTTTTGGGCCAGATGTGGTCAAGTAATGAGGCACCTGTCTCCAGAAAACTTGTTGGGGGTTGTTATAGAAGGTAGTACAAGCCGTTTTTTCAAAGTTTTTTTGAAATCCCGCTATTTGGGGAGTCATTCATTTGGATGAGGGGTTTTTGTTGAAGTTCCTTTAAGTATCACAAGTGTTTATTTTAACTCTGAGTGAGTTTTCATGTTTCTAAGGAGGGGGGGAGGGGGAGGGGTTGTCCAAAAAGGATAAAGGGAGGGGATAAATGTGGGTTTTAAGTGCAAAAAGGGTTTTGGACAGGGAGCAGGCATGTTTGAAACAAGTTTAATAGGGGTTTTGGGAAACCCGATGAGGGGTTTAAAGTGGAGCAGGGAATTTTGTAAAGGAAAAATTTAGGGGAAACCCCTTTGCTGGCTTGAGACCTGGAGGGAAAGGGGAAATACAAATGGGCTGCACTTAAAAGGGGGGATCTGGGATATTGGCTCTTTGGGATTACATTTAAACTGTCATATTTGGACACCTCTGCAAAGACAGTGCTCATGTGTGAATGATGGTGAAAGTGTTGAATGATGGTGTTTCTTTCTGTTTTGGGGTCACCCTGCCTCAGTGGGATATGGCAAATTTTATAATAAAAAAAATGTATTTCTTTTTTTAATGCATCGTCCATATCCCACCAAGGCAGGTGGCCTAAAATGAATAGCAAAAGTTTTTCTTTTTACATTTAGTAATGTACACAGGAGAAGGGGTTACTAGTCCCTTGCTACCAGCATTTTAGTTGCCTCTTATGACACACGCAACTGAGAGAGGAAGAATTCTTCTTCACTTTCCCATGAAATTTTATATGTTATATAATTTTTGAAACTCCATGGGAAAATAGAGAAGAATCCTTCCTCTGTAAGTCATGCATGTCGCAGGAGGCAATTAAAATGCCAGGAGTATACATTACTAAATTTAAAAAGAAAAATTTTTGTTTCCTTTCTTTCAGGTCATCCTCCCTTGGTGGGAGATGGTCAGTGTGATAAAAAAATTACATCAGGAATTATTTTATAGAACAAAGTAAAGACTTATTCTTACCCTTTCAAAGAGGTCCAACACTTGACTAGGATTAAGAAATTCAACAATATTTGATAAAAGTTGATCATCTAGTTGCTTATTGTACTCCATCGCTGCATCAAACTGACCTGTACACACCAAATACAAATAAAAGTTACAACATAAAATAGAATGACTAACTGTACTCCATTGCTGCATCAAACTGACTTGTACACACCAAATACAAACAAACCCTAAGTTAAAAGGACACAAGTGCAACTAATGTGACATTTAATTGTGGCAACGTTTCGCTCTCCAGGAGCTTTATCAAGCCATTACAAACAATACATGGACACAGAGGGTATATAAAGGCTCAGAGTGAGGTGCAATACTAGTGAGGTACCATTTCGATGTTCACTAGTGGTAGTAGTAGTAGTAGTAGTAGTGACAAAAGTAATACAATATGGTAGAGCAATTAATTCGTACATGAGTAAAAGGATATAAAAGCTATTACTTGGGTAACATAAAAATAGGTTGGACAAATATAGACTGGAAAGAGGCAGCTTGTTTCAGTGTTCACTCTCTGTAATGTGCTTTGTGTAGTATAACAGGAGAGACTATGTGATGGCAGGGTTTACTGTTTTCAGGAGATTCTTGCAAAGACTTCGGAGATGGTGAAGCTGCCGTTGTTTTGTTTAATTGTATTCGAAACAGTGATCAGTGCTGATTCGAGGCACTTGCGTCTGCGGAAATTAGTTTCTTTGATCACTAATTGGGCGTCTCTGAATTTCATGAGATGATTGGTGGAATTTCGGTGTTGTACACAGGCGTTGTTCAAGTTATCGTTCCTACATGCGTAAATGTGTTCATTGAGGCGGGTGTCGAGGTTTCTTGCTGTTTCACCTACGTAAATCTTGTCACAGCCTCCACAGGGTATAGTGTAAACTCTTGCATTGACTGGTTCGTGGTGCTTGGATTTTGTCCTGGTTAGATCCTTTATTGAAGTGCTAGAAGCGATGGCGACTCTGGTGTTAGCTTGTGAAAGTAATTTTGAAACGTTCAGTGCAACCTGGCTGTTGGGAAGAATTATAACTTTGTTGGAGTGGTGTTGGTGCGTGGAGAATTAATGATCTGAAGAGCTCTTTTCTTGCAGTCTTTGATGAAAAAGGAAGGAAAATGTAACTCAGTGAATGTTTGGTGAATGTATGTACATTCCTCGTCAAGAAACTCAGGACTACAAATTTGGTATGCTCAACAGCATTTGTAACCTCTCCATCCGTAACAAGAAACTAAGCAGTTTGGATTTGACTTCCCTCTTCACAAAGTACCTACCAAAAAAGCCATCGAGGTTCTACGACGTAAAGTCAATCAGGACCTTAATCTTCCTCTACCTCCCGGAGATTTTGTTGACTTGATTGAACTCTGTGTTAATTTCAACTGTTTTTCTTTCAATAACAAGCTCTACAAACAAACCTACGGCATGGAATGGGGTCCCCCATCAGTGCCGTCTTAGCCAACTTATACATGGAACACCTAGAGTCCGAACACTTCACCAACATCATCCCTCAAGTGTCACTTGGTTACGTTACGTGGACGACGTCCTCGTAATAACTCCCAAACGTTTTGATGTACGGAATCTTCAGGCAAGGCTCAACGCAGTTGAACCGGCGATCCAGTTTACACTAGAAGAAGAGTCCAATGACAAGGTACCTTTCCCCCGACGTCCTCATTCACAAAGTAGACAACAACCTAAGATTTCAAGTTTATCGGAAACCTACCAATAAAAGTAATCTCACACACTTCTATTCCAGTCAAGATACCAAGACCAAAAGAGGCATCATCATCGGGTTTTTCCTAAGAGCATACCGAATTTGTAGTCCTGAGTTTCTTGAACGAGGAATGTACTACATACATTCACCAAACATTCACTGAGTTACATTTTCCTTCCTTTTTCATCAAAGACCGCAAGAAAAGAGCTCTTCAGATCATTAATTCTCCACGCACCAACACCACTCAACAAGTTATAATTTTCCAAAGTGGGGGGTTTGGGGTTTCCCGGGGCTGCGCCGGGAAAGCGGGGACATCCCCGGAAAGGGCCCAGAAACTCCATTTTTTTTTCCATTTTTAAAAATGCATATAAAGGGCCAGACAAAAAGGGTTTTACACTAAATTATTTAAGTAGAAAGAACTCCCCCATTAAAAACACAAAAAGAAAAATACAGTCCCGTAAATTCTTATTTTTCTTAAAGTATTTGTAATCTTAATATGGGGGAAAAGGAGGTAAAGTAGTACTTATTTGGGGGAAAAGGTCGGGTTTGCAGGAAAGCCCGGTTTTGGTACCCTGGCTCCCCTTTCTTATTTAAATTATATGATTTTTAAAAAAACATCCCGAGGGTAAAATGCCCCATACGTCCCATCATTTTTTATTTTTAAAATTTGTGTAGTCTTAATATAGGAAGAGAGGTGAGTAGTTTTTAATTTGTAAAAAGGGTCAGGGTAGGTAGCTGGTAGGTGTAGCTGGTAGGTGGGCCTGGGTTTACACCTACCAGCTCCCCTAAAAATGTGGCCCAGAGCCATTTATTAACATCGACATGCCTTGTTCACGGAAATTTTAAATCTTTTTCTAAAAAAACTCCCTTTAGTTTGCCATATAAACAAAGGTTAAAAAGAAATAAATAATTATGGGGGAAAAATTTTTAAAAAAAGCGGAGTGGGGGAAGGTTTGGGCCAAACGCAGTTTCAAACACTTTTTCTCTGTGGCCTGAGCAGAGAAAAGTTTGGGCCCTCCCCCCGGTTCCCTTTTATTATTATCAGAGCACATAAAAAAATATCCCAATAAATGCCAGACAAAAAGTTTCACTAATTTTAAATTAAGTTAGAAATTTAAAATAGGCTTTAAAAAAAACACAATAAAAGGTAAGATACACACGAGTAACTTTTTACTTATTTTTAAAAATATTAATATTAATGTGTGAGAGGGGGTTTTTGGCAGGGTGTTTTTTGAAAAAAATCAGAATGGCACCCCATCATCCTCTAATTTGGAAATTAAAAACGAGGGCTTATGACTTCTTTTTTTTTTACGGGCCAAACCTTTTGGACGCCATCGTAAATGGGGAGCCAATAGTTAAAAAAAGAGTAAAACAAAGGGGAGAGAACAAGATACAGATTTGGGGGGGCAATGTAAAAACACAAACTGAACGGGGTAGGGGTTTGATCATTTGGGGTTCAGGGAAAAAAAATGCGTTTTAAATTGTGTTTTGTTTTATTTCTTTCAGTCCGTTTGCAAGAGTTTGTAAAACATTTTCCTCAATATTTTTTTTTTTTAATAATAATTACCTCACAATCAAAAATTTACATTGTGAAAAAGTTGTACAAGTTTGTTCAGAATTTTAAAAAACAGCAACACCCCCCTTTTAGAGGGGAATGGGAAAATAATAATAATAATAATTTAAAAATAAAAAATTTTTATTATTAACCCTTTTTTAAAGTTTCCCACGTATAAATACGGGCTTACGAGCCAATGTTTCTGAGGGATTTATAAGCATAAAATTTTAGCAGGGTTTTAAATCAAGCAGGGGAAAGCTGGTAGGCCCCCATGTGAGAGAATGGGTCTCCATGGTCAGTGTGCACCATATAAAAAAAATTGGGGAAGCCAGTGGTGCATTGTGGGAATGCCTTTCAGTTGTCCTTTTTCAGCATGTCTAGCGGTAAGAAATATGTGATTCCCTAGCAAAATCTGGGACTCTTCTCTTCCCAAGTGATGCTCTAACACAGATGGAAGTGTCAGTGAAGATCAATTTCATGATTTGGAGGAGTTTGAGACCAAAAGCAATGGAGGAGGAGGAGGGGGAGGAGGGGAGGAAGAGGAGGAGGAGGAGGAGGAAGGAAGAGGAGGAGGAGGAGGAGGAGGAGGAGGAGGACAAGGAGAAGAGGAGGAGGAGGAAGAAGAAGATGTAATAATATTGTTCCCTTGAAGCAAGAAAAAAAAAAGTCACCCCATGCAGTTGACAAGATAAGGGGAGATAACATCTGATAAGAGCTGACTTTGATGAGCGTAAAAGGAGGGTAATATTACATGACCATCGCCCTCCCTTTGTTTTTGCTGGTACACAAACATTTCTGTCTGTCTATTTGTCTGTCTGTCAAGCTCCCTGTCTGTCCATCTAGCTCTCTGTCTCAGAGAGAGCCACAAGACTGTGTCATCACGTTTACTCACATCTTCAAGGCGAGTTATAGCACTTTGTCTGGATTTCTTGGGTTATCCTAGGTAATTTACACTATGTATACTTGTATTTATGTGTACCTGTGAGACAGAGATAGGCAGACAGATAGAAAGAGAGACAGATTGAAAGATATAGAATGAGGGAGAAAGATAATTAGATAGAATGGAGGAGGGGAAGCAGCGTCCGACCCCCATTGTTTTGACAGGAGGTAGGGGGTGTGAGTAATGAGACAATATGTCACTTTGACAGCTGCCGACTTCTGACTCAAAAACAATTAAAGCCACACACTCGCACACAAGACAAGGAGGAGGAGAAGGAGGAGAAGGAGAAGGAGGAGAGGAGGAAAAGGAGAAGGAGAAGGAGAAGGAGAAGGAGAAGGGAAGTAGAAGTAGAAGGAGGAGGAGGAGGAGGAGGAGGAGGAGGAGAGGAGGAGGAGGAGGAGGAGGAGAAGAGGGAGGTGGAGGAGAAGGAGGGGAGAAGGAGGAGAGGAGGAGAAGAAGGAGAGTGAGGAGAAGGAGAAGGAGGAGGAAGGAGGAGAAGGAGGAGGAGGAGGGGAGGAGGAGGAGGAGGAGGAGGAGGAGGAGGAGGAGGAGGAGGGAGGAGGAGAAGGAGGAGGAGGAGAAGGAGGAGGAGGAGAAGGAGACGGGAAGGAGGAGGAGGAGGAGGAGGAGGGGAGGAGGAGGATGATTGTTTGTTTTTGTAAACAAGTTTTGTAAACAATATATTGATAATTATGTTTGTGTGCTTATTTGTGTTGTATACAACGAGTGTATATATATACATTGCACCTTACTTTGGTCCATAGGCCACATAAGTTATGTGAAAAAATAAAATAGTGAAAAAAAACAAAAAACCTTCAAATACAAGTAACTAAAGTTTACCGGGTGAGCGGCAGTCGCCGCTGTTTGCCATACGCGGCTCATTTT